CTCAGCAAAATGTTAGATGTGGATGTGTGGTAGTGTGTCAGCCTTGAGTGAAAACACTGAGAGCATGAAACTTTAAGCCCCAGTACTGTCATATACACACACACAAGAATCACACACACACACACACACACACACACATCTGGTTTACTGGGCCCATTGAGTCATTTGGTGGTTTCATAGACAGCAGTGAGCCTGCCTCCCCTGAAGTAAGAAGTGGGTGGCAATTTTGGAGACCTCTTAAGAGGTGAATCCTTATCTTACTCAGGAATGGAAGGGGAGGCAGCAGAGATTCATGCCAATAATATTGCTTGCTCTTCAGGTCATGAAGACCTTTCATACGGTTCCACTGGAAAAACAATTCCCAGAAGATACTGTGACTTCCCTTCCCCTCCCTCTTTCTTTCTTTTTTGCGTGCCAGTTCTGGGACTTGAACTCAGGACCTTGAATTGTTGCACAATATAATCTCCACTTCTGTTTTCTTCCTCCTCCTCCTCCCCTTCCTCCTCCTCCTCCTATTCCTCCTCCTCCTCCTCTTCCTCTTCCTCTTCTTCTTTGTGCTGGTCCTGAAGCTTAAACTCAGGGCTACAGCACTGTCCCTTAGCATTTTTGCTTAAGGCTAGTGCTCTACCACTTGAGACACAGTTCCATTTCCTGCTTTTTGCTGGTAATTGTAGATAAGAGTTTCACAGACTGCCTGAGCTAACTTTGAACCATGCTTCTCAGATCTCAGCCTCCTGCGCAGCTGGGATTACAAGCACAAACCACTGGCACCCAGCTGTTTATTTTCTAAAAAGAAAACAACTCTGGGTTCAGGATGGTTCATTTCTTTCTTCAGATAACAACTATTTATTGGCTGTAGCTGTGCCAGCCAGACAGAGGGACTTGCCCAGGCAAGTCGTTAGGACAAGCTTCCTGATGCTCGCTCACACTGCCTCATCCCACAGGGCACTCCGGTGGACACCGCCTGGGAGGTAGGCATGGGGGACAGGACGCTGTCATTAGACACACCTCGGATCCATGTTACACTTTGCTTCTCCAGTTAGATCAATGGTTGAGCTTTGAATAAAAAGGCCAACTCTGTACTCTTCATTTTGAATCTTCTAGCACATGTTAAATATTCAATAAGATCCAAGGAAGGTTTCTGGGCTGAACTTCTCCATTTTCTGCAAAGCTATCTTTTCTGTTCTCTATATAGACAGATTTTCAGATCTTTTTTTGGTTGCTTGTGAGGCTTGAACTCTGGGCCTGGGTGCTGTCCCTCAACTCTTCAGCTCAAGGCTAGTGTTCTACTACTTGAGCCACAGCCCCGCTTCCAGTTTTCTGATTGGTTTATTGGAGATAAGAGTCTCATGGATTTTACTTCCCAGGGCTGGCTTTGAACCGTAATCCTCAGATTTCAGCCTCCTGAGTAGCTAGGATTACAGGAATGAGCCACTGGTGCTTTTAGATCTATTATGTAACATTATTAGGACTAAAGTCCTCCAAAATTCTACTAATGTTGTAGAATTTACTATTAAATGCCACAAATATCAAGGATTTGGACACAAGATTTTGGCTGTGACATTCTGTTCAAAGTTGAGTTATAGCTTTATGTGGAATGTGACTTTTTTTTTAACACTTCCATGTAGGTGAAGGCAGGATACATTTGAAACTCCTCTGCATCTTTGATGATACCTTTCTTCCGTTGTAGCTTGGCTTTTGTGTGTGTGTGTGTGTGTGTGTGTGTGTGTATGCTGATACTAGGGTCTTGACCTCAGGGCCTCCTGCCTTTGCTTGGCTTTTCTGCTCCAGGCTAGTACTCTATCATTTGAGACACATCTCCTCTTCTGGATTTTTGCTAGTTAATTGAAGAGTTTTTGGACTTTTCTTTTCTTTCTTTTGTTTTGGGGGGGAGGGTCCAATCGTGGGGCCTGAACTCTGGGCCTGAGCGCTTTCCCTCAGCTCTTCAGCTCAAGGCTAGCGCTCTACCACTTGAGCCACAGTGCCACTTCCAGCTTTTTTTTTGCTTATGTGGTGCTGAGAAATCGAACCCAGGGCCTCAGACATGCAAGGCAAGCGCTCTACCATTGAGCCAACTTCCCAGCCCGAGTTTTTGGACTTTTCTATCCAGGCTGATTTCAAACTGAGATTAAAATCTCAGCCTCCTGAGTAGCTAGGATTATAGTGCTTGCTCTAAAGTCACAGTGACTTTATGTGTGTTCTGGGATGTTCTAATAATACTGACATCAGCTAATAAAGCACTTCTCAGAAGCTATCCCCATCCTTAAGCCACACATGAGCTTGTTATTGTCAAGTAGGCTTAGTGGCAATAGAAATAGGAAGATGGAAGAAACTACAACAGATGTGACGTTCTCTAAGCAGACAGCTACTTCCTAAATCTAAACAATAACATGGACTGGTTTAGTTGATCAGGTATCTTCTTCATGCTTCTTGTTTTTACCAGTTTAGTTTGAGCTTGTGTATTCTGGGGCTCTTCTCTGGTGTTTTCAGTGTTTTGGTGTGATTCAGAGCTTCAAGCTTGGGTGTGTTCTAGTACTGGAGCTTGAATTCAGAGCCTGGGTACTCTCCTTTACCTTGTTCACTCAAGGCTGGTGCTCTATCACTTGAGCACAACTCTACTTCCGGAGTTTTAGTGGCTAATTGGAGATAAAATCTCAGAGTTTTTCTACCTGGGCTGGCTTCAAACAGATCCTCAGATCTCAGCATCCTGAATACCTAGGATTATAGGCACAAGCCACCTGTACTTGGCAGAACTTCAAGCTCTTTGAGGAGGAGGAAGCTAGTTATACTGGAGTACTTTCTTGCCTAACTACAAATTATATTTTGAGATAAAGATCCGTGGGTAGCAGTGTGGAGACAGTTTGCCACTGCCACTGGGCATGGTGTTTGGGGCCAAGTACTTCCAGACTCAAGAGCAGTGTGTATTAATTTGAGAAGACAGGGATATGAATATAAATCAACACATATGACAATAAAAGTTTCTTGATGGATTGTAATTACATTATGCAATAGGAAACCTGGACTGAATAGCAGGTTATGGCTTCCTAAGAGAAGAAATGTAAAGGCAAAAAAATGTGAGGCAACAAATCGGAAATGAGACAGAATACTTAAATGGGCTGAGGAAAGAACATAGGAATGCTGACTACTTGTCTGGTTGCCATTATGCCAAAGCTCCTATAAAATAGTCCAGCTCTGTTAGGCATAGGTTTCTCTCTTCTTTCCTTCCATAAATCAAGTTTTCTTTGGCTTCTTTCTTACTGGTGATATTGTTTTATTATCTTTATTTTTTTGGGGGGTGCTGGTTCTGGGTTTGAACTCAGGGCCTGGGGCATTAAGCTTTTGTACTCAAGGTTAGGGATCTACCACTTGAGCCATGGCTCCACTTCTAGCTTTGTTGGTGGTTAATTGGAAATTTGAGAATCACAGCTTTCTTGCCCAGGGTAGTTTTGTATTGCTTAGATCTTAGCTTCCTGAGTAGCTAGGATTATCCATGTGAGCCACTAGTGCCCGATGATATTGTTTTATCTCCACAGTTGAGTTCCCTGAAAGAGTAAGGGACACCAACTCACCTGTCAGTTCTGTCCTTCACAACCATCCTAGCAGAGTTGGATGAGCTTCTGGGATGGCTTCCTAGGCCCTCATTCTTCCAGTCATCCCTAAGGATTTGTGGGGCACTTGATTCCAAGGCACTCCCCTTCCTCCACTACCTTCATGTGGATACCCTAAGCTGTAGAGGCTCACGTCCCTCATACAAAATGACAGTCTTAAGCCAGGTGCTGGTGGCACATGCCTGGAATCTTAGCTCCTGTGCACATCAAGATTCAAAGCCAGCCAAGATAAGAAAATCTGCTAGACTCTTATCTCCAATTACCCAGCAAAAAGCCAGAAGCAGATGTGTGGCTCAAGGGGAAAAGTGCCTGTCTTGAGTAGAAAAGCCAAATGAGAGTTTGAGGCCCTGAGTTCAAGCCCTACTACCAGAACACATACACAAAAATGACCTAGTCTTTGCAAAGAACCTAATCACATCCTCCTTCTACTTTAAAATCATCCTATAAAACCTAAAAAATTCAAAATTCTGTATAGTCATATTATGTTGCTCTCAGAATAGTAACAAGAAAAAGTCTACATTTTATCTGTCTCATTTTATCATACATACTGATGAAGTAAAAATAATTTTTTTGTGCCAGCACTGGGGCTTGAGCTCAGGGCCTTACTCTCTAGCTTGGCTTTTTCCCTCAAGGCTCATACTCTACCACTTGAGTCATAGTTTCACTTTCAGATTTCTGCTGATTAAGGGGAGATAAGAGTTTCTCAAATTTGTCTTCCTGGGTTGGCTTTGAACTACAATCCTCAGAACTTAGCCTCCTGAGTAGCTAGCATTATAGGTATGAGATACCTGGCTTATCAGATTTTCTTGTCCATGTTGGATGCTCAGATGCAGATGTGAGGGTCAACTCTAGCCTATTTGTCTCTCTGTGACTTATGAACATTATGGCCTGTGGTTAAAGTGGATATTTAAAATACCATCTGCACTCTGTTCTTAGAAGTTAATGCTTCATTGTAACTTATAGATACATTTCAATAATTTCTTCAACCATTCTTATGCATTGATTTGGTAGCAAGTCAGAAGATATATGCATCTTCTCAATTTTATTTTAAGCTTTTCAACAATCCTGGAAACGCAAAATGCAATGCCCACTCTGAAGTTGAAACAGAAACTCACAAGTGATTCGTCTAAGATGCACAGCTAATAAATGCAGAGGTATGTTAGGACAACTGGTCTTAGGGGAAGGATCCACATTATCAAGGAAGGAATTCTTGATCTGGAACCCATAGAGAAGGTACAATGACGAGCTTCCGGTGGTTCATGAGCTCCATGAAGTTGAGCACAGAAGCTTGTGTGCATGTACTCATGCGCATTTTTCTAGAGGAAGTATATACAGCATTGGCTACATTCCCCAGGGATCCAAGGTAACATAGTGTTTGACTTCTATGCAAGTCCTCATAGCATTGGTGGCTGAGAGTGGTACTCCCTGGGGAAGATTGATCTTTCTTGTTTAAATTTCTTCAACCTGTTCATAAAAAATAGAAAATGAAACACAGTTGAGTGCAGTGGCCTATACCTGTAACCTTAACTACTTAGGAGGTTTGAGATCTGTGGATCGTGGCTCAAAGCCAGCCTAGGCAGACAAATAGGAGAGATTCTTATCCCCAATTAGTCAGCAAAAAGCCAGAAGTGGAGGTATGGATCAAGCTGCAGAGAGTCAGCTTTGAGCAAAAAAGCCAAGTGGGAATGTGAGGTCTTGCATTGAAACCAGTATACACACACACATGCAAATAAACCAAGAGTTTATTTAGCTCATAGTTTTGTGCCAGCCCTATTCTGATGAGGACCACTTAGCAGATGGCATCACAATGAGATTGTGTACAAAGCCAAGAGATCACATAGCCAGTGGGCCCTCAGGTGTAAGCTCACTCTTACAACAGCTCAGTCTCTTGAGGACCAACTCAGGGTTCTACCAGAATAACCTCAGTCTCTTCTCAGTGCGTTCTGAGCTTTTTGAATTCTGAGATGTAGTACCAGGCCCCACTTATTGTGTGGATGAATTCAGCTCCAATGACTTCTGTACAAAATGATTCCAATTATGAGATTTTTTTTTCCCTCTTACCTATGATGCAGGATGGACCTAGGCCCAGATGAGGAGAGAAAAAAGTGTGAAAATAAGGATTATAATCCTAAGTGGACATACCTCTTGGGAGATTTTTTTTTTACTCTCAGGATGGTAGTTTGTCTTTTTAGCAAGCTGGTGCTGCATACGTCCCAAAATGTGCATTGTACAACAATGGAACATTCTACCTTAACTTCAATCGCTCTGAGTTGTCCCTTATTAGCAGCTTTCTTGTCATCATACTGTACTGTTCAATGACCAGCTCTGTCTGGGGAAGTGGAATTTGAATAATTCCTTGGCATTTCATACCACATATGTAATCTCCTCAGCACAGCAGAATGTGCAGAGTGTGCTGAGATGGGTGGGAAACACGAGCTGTGTGACAAGTGTAATAGAAAGCCTTAGACTGAGAGAACCACCGGCAGCTAGGTAGCTTTCCCCTACTATAACCAAGACCTGAGCCAATAAGCTCATAAAGAAGAAAGGTTTATTTCAGTTCATAGTTTCAGAGTTTTTTTTTTTTTTTTTTGCCAGTCATGGGGCCTGAACTCTGGGTTTGGGTGCTATACCTCATCTCTTCAGCTCAAGTCTAGCGTTCTAATACTTGAGCCACAGCACCACTTCCGGCTTTTTCTGCTTATGTGGTACTGAGGAGTCAAACTCAGGGCCTCGTGCATGCAAGGCAAGGACTCTACCACTGAGCCACCTTTCTAGCCCGTCAGACAAAGATTTATTTCATGAAAGTCCCATTGCTTTGGAGAGGTGGTGAGGCAGCAAAGGCAGGAGTTTGTGGCAAACTGTTCTCCTCATGGCCAAAAATCAAAAGAGGAAAATTGAAAAAGGATCTATGGCTCCAATATCTCTTCAAGGACACACACCTTGTGTGTGTGCGTGTGTGTGTGTGTGTGTGTGTGTGTGTGTGTGTGTGTGTGTGTGTGTGTGAGCCAGTAGTGGGGCTTGAAATCAGAGCCTGGCATTGTTCCTCAGCTTTTTTTGCTCAAGGCTGCTTCTTTACCACTTAAGCATACCTCCACTTCAAGATTTTTGATGGCTAAGTAGAGATAAGAATCTCATGGACTTTGCTGCCTGGGCCGACTCTGAACCTTGACCCTCAGATCTCAACCTCCTGAGTAGCTAGGATTATAGGTGTGAGCCACCAGCACTTGATTTATTTACTTATTTATCTTTTTTGTGGATCATGGGGCTTGAACTCTGGGCCTGGGTGCTGTCCCTCAGCTCTTCAGCTCAAGGCTAGTGCTCTACCATTTGAGCCACAGCATTATTTTTCTGGTGGTTTATTGGAGATAAGAATCTCATGGACTTTCCTATCCAGGCTGGCTTTGAACTGCAACCCTCAGATCTCAGCCTCCTGAGTAGCTAGGATTACTGCAACCCTCAGATCTCAGCCTCCTGAGTAGCTAGGATTACAGACGTGAGTTATGGACAGCTGGCTTGATTTTTTTAATTGGCATATATTTTACAAGGAAATTTCATTGTGATAGTTCTGTAGGTGTGTAGTTTATTTTGAACAAGTCCTATAAGCCCCACCTCTTAAATGTTCTATCACCTAGACCGTGTGTCAGGGATCAAGGCCTTAACAAATGGACTTTTAGGTACACATACCATGCCATAGCAGAACTGACCCTTTTTTAGCTGGTAGTAATACGGTAGATATGATGTCTCTCTGGGGAGAGCAGGGAGAAGTGACGTTTGGTCACAAGAAATAATCATCTTTTTGGGGTAAACATAGGTTTGGTTCAAATTCCCAAGTCCATTCTTATTCCTCTGACTCTCTCTCTCTCTCTCTCTCTCTCTCTGTATTGAATACTTATTTCAAGAAATTCCAAAAGAGTGAAGCATAATAGGAATAATAGGGGTTAATTCTCTTCCCTTCTGCCTTAAAACCCTGAGAAAGAGCAATGTGTATCCACATACACCCAAAGGAGTATGTAAGTGGTTGAATGCTGAATGGCTTCTTCAGAGCCTCCACTATATTAGGTACAGGGGTTTGCCATCAATAGAATCTTCCTTTTAGAGTCATTGTTTAAAGTACTTGTTGTTGGGTAACCAATCATTCTAATACTGGTTTAAAAAACCCAATGGTATCCTTGCTACTCAGGAGGCTGAGATCTGAGGATTGCAGTTTGAAGCCAGCCTGGGCAGGAAAGTCCATGAGACTCTTATCTCTAATAAACTACTTAGAAAAGGCCAGAAGTGTTGTGTGGCTGAAGTGGTAGAGTGCTAGCCTTGAGCAGAAGAAACTCAGGGACAGTGCCCAGGCTCTGAGTTCAAGCCCCAGGACCAGCAAACAACAACAAAACAATCATAACCAAAAAAATCCCAATGGTTTATTCTTTCTCATGAATGCAGGTTGGCTGGACTCAGCCAGGTAGTTCTGCTCTTCTAAGGAATTGTGAACATGTTTCAGCTGGAAGCTGGGATGACTGGAATGTGTGGGATTCTTTCCTCATAGTGTCTTAGCTTTTTAGAGTTTAGCTTGGGCATCTCAGGTAGGAATAGAATCTCCAGATGTAGGCTTGGACCTCCTATAGCTGCATTTCTGCTATATTTTGTTGATCTAAGCAAGGTACAGATCAAGTTCAGGTAATGGGCACATGGCTCCATCTTTTTGGCCTTCTGTCTGTCATGATTATCTATTTTTAAAGCAGGTGTTAATGCCTGTTTACAGGGTATAAAGTGTGTTTAACGATTGTCTAATTAATTATAACCCTTCCTCCTAAGAACAACACACCGCATAGCAGGAAAGTGACTTGCTCTAGGTTCTATCAGTCATCAGAAGTGGAGCCAGCTCCCTGGACATCTCCTGGTGCTGGATCCTTGTGGACAAAGCTTTCCAGTGTGTGTGGAGTTGGTCTTTAGCAATAGCTGAATGTCATCAGGTTTGGTTAGACAATGTGATTGACGAAGTGGGTAAACTCTCTATTGGCCACATGTGATGAGATCAGGCTCCTTATTTTCTGGTGTAGATCATCAGTGGCTCCTACACACACAGGTGCAATGTGATTGTGGTTCCTGGGGGGCCACTTCAAGGATGTACAAGTCTTTTTGTCAGTGCCACATGCCACCCCTAAGAAAATGTTGTGCCTGGAGATTTGTACAGGCAGCTATGGGGACTGTAGAGGAGCCAGGTAACTGAAGACAGGCGGCTAGGTTGATGGATCTCCACGAGTCATTTCTAGCTCTGCAACAGTGAGCACTGTCATTGGTGTGTTGATTTACAGGTATTTTGCTTTCTTTTCAAACTCTACTTCAGAAAAATGCTGGGAAAGAGGAAAGCTTTGAAATGAAAACCTCTTATCTTTAAACTGTTTTCAGCAGGTTTGTGTAGCTTTTCTTTGATTTCTCTCCTGGCCCCTGGTGCCAGATTCTTCTAGAAGGATCTTCCCCACATGGGATCGGTATTAACAGCTTCATTTCTGTTGCTTGCACAGGGTTTCAATATTGCTTTCCCATGACCTGCTCTCTCCCCCTCTTTTTCCCTCCCCTCTCTCCCTCTCCTGTCTCCTCTTCTTTCCTCTTCCCTCCCATCTCTTTTCCTTTCCTTTCCTTTTTTGTGCAGGTACTGGAGCTAGAATTTAGGGGCTAGGAACTCTCCCTTAACTTTCTGCTTAAGGCCGGTGCTTTCCTATTTGAACCCAACCCTTCACTTCTGGCTTTTTAATGGTAAGTTGGAGATTAGAGTCTCTTAGATTTGTCTGTCTGGGATGGTTGTTTGAACTGCAATCCTCAGATATCAGCCTCCTGAGTAGTTAGGATTATGGGTATGAGCCATTATTATTTTTGTTTTTTATTCCACACAATAGATCCATGGTCATTCTGGGATAATGGTTTTTCCATGTGGCTGCTTTCAGTTTCTCCTGTGCAAAGAATCAGTTATTTAAAAACATGTTCCTGGAGCCCCAACATGTTCCATGCATTTTTCATAGCACAGAAGTTATGTGCAATTACTTACTGGAGGAATTTTTAAAATAAACATGCCAGCAATCATTCTTTTACTTACTCTGCAGGGATTTGACAGGCCCCTGCTATGAATGATGACTGATGAGTGATGAATGATGACTGTCCCATGCTGAGAGGTTATGGGGGCCAATGATGGAGATGGAGCTATAGGAATTTTGTGTTCTAAATTAAAACCCTGTGGTTTCAGAGTCTTATGACAATAATGAAGTCTGTGGAGGAAATCCTGACTGTTTTCCAGAATATTCTGTAGTCTCCCTCTTTTCCTGCTCTAGGCTAAGCCAGGTCCTTCAGGTTTGTTCCTGATCACTCAAGCTCTGCTTGTGCTACTGCTCTCTGGGCTCTATGCCTTTTCCTATTTCTTGGCTTCGACCTTCATCTTGCTTCTAGTAGCTTCAAGCTGAGGTAATTTCATGTCCTTTGTA